TTTCGATGCATCAGATCGAAAAAACATCGATGTATTTTTTTTACTTGCATCCCTAAGCCAAATGTGATACCACACACAGTGATGACAAACTTAGTCAAAAAGAAGAAAGTTGAAGAGTTGCTTTTTTGCAAGTATAGACGATTCGATTATTTCTTGAAAAATTCGATTATATATATCCGAATTTTACCACCACAAAGTTCGATTTCAAAAATTCGCCATTTCGGAGCTAAAATTCGATTAACTTCCCCTACTTCAAACTAAACATTTGAATGCACATTTATATGTCTGGCTGTAGCTGAGTGCGCAAAGATGCTTGCCACAATTTTCTTATTTCCAGAGGGTCAGGGTTCGAATTCCATTGCAGGCAACATTCAAATTAAGTATTTTTTTTTGGTTTCTATCTTGATCATTCACTTCACGGATACTTTTTCATAACAAACGTTTCATTTTAATATGCGTAGTTGAATTGGATATTTACCATTATACAGTATTTTCGTTGACGTTTGTAGTAAGATCAACTATGTTTCTGATTGATTTTACTATTTTTTCCCTCAGCGTAGTAAAAATAAATTCAAACACGGTAACCCTGTCGGACGCCTTGAAATCTTTTAAAGAAAGGGGTAAATACATCATGGCCAAAACCTTGGTCTTAGACCAAATTTATTCCATCCTTAGTTATAAAAAGAGGTGCAAGTTCATATTTCCCTTTTCTGAGGATTGGAGCAGATATCCCACTTGGTTGTATGACGGTTCACAAAAATGGTATACCGATGGTTCCAAAACACCTTACAGTATAGGCGTGAATGTGGTGGGACCGCGATTCCGAACAGCTTTTCCATTAGGCAAAGACGCAACGATATTCCGATCGGAACCAGCTGCCATACTTAAGAACGTCCACATCTTGTTAAACTGCTTAAGTGCAAAATCCTAAAACGCTATGTGGAGCATTAACAGGTCATTGTGCTTGCAACAAACAAATCGACCCCTTTGCGCGAAATTATCGTATATGCCATTTTTTCGAAATTTACATTTTGACGCAAGCCATATAGTTACGCCAAAAATTTACGCTATCTCTTATCGTATGTTGCAATGCATCTTGTGGGCGAAATAGTCGTATGCGCCATACAAAAGTATTTTAAACGTAGTAAAAAAAATAAAATAAGAAAATTTAAAAAGATTTTTGAAGAGTACAAAAAAAACGAAACGAAAGGTATCGATATGTACATGCTTGACCACTGTAGTACATACATTTGCAGACTGGTGAAGAGGATATCAATGGATCACCTGATTACCCCTGCCCAACACTAGCTCATCGTAAGGCCAGATTTTTAAATGACTACACACTCAGCAATAACGATCTAATGCAGATTTCGCAGCAGGATTCAATAGAATTATTGTGCATATTAAACAAATAAAGTTAAAACAGTGGGCACAATAGATCAAAACTGGTCGCGGTGCAAGGGGACTGTAGACCTATCCTTACATCATCAAGATCCCAAATTGATGGTGCCAATACTGGAGTTGGCTTATTTGGACCAAGAAATCAGAAAAGTTTATCAAGCGGGAATTTCACCAAACTAAATCTTCGCCGGCGATTATCTCGGTAGATGGACTATGGTATAAAGGCTAATAGTACTTAGCAAACCGAGTACAAGTAAAAAGTCTACNAGTGCGAATTCCATTGCAGGCAACATTCAAATTAAGTATTTTTTTTTGGTTTCTATCTTGATTATTCACTTCACGGATACTTTTTCAAAACAAACGTTTCATTTTAATATGCGCGTAGTTGAATTGGATATTTACCACTATACAGTATTTTCGTTGACGTTTGTAGTAAGATCAACTATGTTTCTGATTGATTTTTCTATTTTTTCCCCTCAGTGTAGAAAAAATAAATTCAAACAAGGTAACCCTGTCAGACGCCTCGAAATCTTTTAAAGAAAGGAGTAAATACATCATGGCCAAAACCCTGGTCTTAGACCAAATTTATTCCCTCTTAGTTATAAAAAGAGGTGCAAGTTCATATTTCCGTTTTCTGAGGATTGGAGCAGATATCCCACTTGGTTGTATGACGGTTCACAAAAATGGTATACCGATGGTTCAAAAACACCTTACAGTATAGGTGTGCATGTGGTGGGACCGCGATTCCGAACAGCTTTAATTATATTAAACAAATAAAGTTAAAAGAGTGGGCACAATAGATCAAACCTGGTCGCGGTGCAAGGGGACTGTAGACCTATCCTTACATCATCAAGATCCAAAATTGATGGTGCCAATACTGGAGTTGGCTTATTTGGACCAAGAATTCAGAAAAGTTTATCAAGCGGGGATTTCACCAAAGTAAATCTTCGCCGGCGATTATCTCGGTAGATGGACTATAGTATAAAGGCTAATAGTACTTAGCAAACCGAGTACAAGTAAAAAGTCTACCCTGTGGTGGGTTCTATTTTACGAAAGCTTTAATGGATTGAAAAGGCTGATACACCCGCGAAATGCAAAGTCCAACAGAGCCAACCAAGGGATGCAGAATAGAGCTTCTCAAAATGACTCCATGTTGTAGTCCAGTGGCGTATTTCAAAGGGTAAAAGGCAGTCAAAAACTATTACTGGATTTCTAAAAGGGCACTCCAAAACTTTGGTATGAACCCACCAAATTTGTTTTTTTTTTTTTTAAGACCACTTATATAGGAACCAGAAACCACTGTGCAATTCTGTCTTCAGATTTGTATTCAACAAACTCACCAAATTTCGATTAAATTTAGTAATATTTTCAAGTGGGTCCATCCCCAATTGGATTCAAGCAGTAACTTTAACCAATGCTGATTGAACTAAGATCCTATACATTCAAAAAAGCAACTCTTAGTAGGACATGTTTGTCTGTTTCACTTGAAATTTATTATTCTAAATTGCCATGAAACGAGAAGAAAATCGCTGTAAAATTTTCATTAGTTGAACAATTGCTTAACCCCATTTCATAAATCGATTCTTTTGTTAGCACAAATCAATAGCAACCCAATCAAAGATACACAATAGTCAAACAATTTACTGTAAAACAATNGTTGTAGTCCAGTGGCGTATTTCAAAGGGTAAAAGGCAGTCAAAAACTATTACTGAATTTCTAAAAGGGCACTCCAAAACTTTGGTATGAACCCAACAAATTTTATTTTTTTTTGTTTTAAGACCACTTATAAAGGAAGCAGAAACAACTGTGCAATTCTGTCTTCAGATTTGTATTCAACAAACTCACCAAATTTCGATTAAATTTAGTAATATTTTCAAGTGGGTCCATCCCCAATTGGATTCAAGCAGTAACTTTAACCAATGCTGATTGAACTAAGATCCTATACATTCAAAAAAGCAACTCTTAGTAGGACATGTTTGTCTGTTTCACTTGAAATTTATTATTCTAAATTGCCATGAAACGAGAAGAAAATCGCTGTAAAATTTTCATTAGTTGAACAATTGCTTAACCCCATTTCATAAATCGATTCTTTTGTTAGCACAAATCAATAGCAACCCAATCAAAGATACACAATAGTCAAACAATTTACTGTAAAACAATGAAAGGAGGCGTAGCATCGGGGTAAAGGTTAGTTTACTTAATTATTGAAAACACCAGCTGGCATTGTTAGCACAAGGAGAGAAAAAAAACGAAAATTTATTGCTGTAACAAATGTGTTGGTAGTAAAATACAATACACGAATGTAGAAGCAGGAAAAATGCAGCAAATTTAAAATAAAACAAATGTTATAGACCTCTAAAGCTGCTCAGCTATGCACGACGTAAATATGTGTGTTTTTAGATATGTATGGGCATAGTTGGTTTCACGATTCTGCTGATAAAGTAATGGTCGTACATACATACATATATAAATATAAAAGTACATAACTACAAACAGTGGTCGAAAAAATTATAGCCGCACCATATTTAGACAAGATATTTTGTGTTTGTTATTTGACTATGGTGAATTTAAAAAAATATGTAGTTCCTTCTTTCAAAAAAGAAACAGTGAAAATCTAGGTTTCCAACTTTGGGCAAATTAAAAAAAAATCAACAAGTTTTCGTAAAATTTCGAGCTTTTTTAATTAGATTTCCTAGAAATATTTTGAGTATGCAGTTTTGTAGCTCACTGAATTTTATTAGCATAAAGTACAAATTTCATATGGCTAGAAATTATTATTATTTTTTAGAATTTTTTTCGAAAATGTTGCGGTTTTGCTTAATATATAAAAAAGATTTGTATTCGTTATATGGAAGCAAATGGGACAAAACAAAAGTTCTAAAAAATCAACCGTAATTTTTATCAATGTAAAACTTGTACTTTATTTTATCATCAATGGGCTATAAAAACTGCATACTCAGCATGCTCAGATTATTTCTGATTAAAAAAGCTCGGTTCTTGGATTTACACAGGTTTTGTTAAAGAATTAACTATACTTTTGTAACAAAATAACCAAAATTAAAAAGCAACAAAAAAAGATGTTAAAATTTGTCAAAATGTGGTGCGGCTATAATTTTTTCGACCGCTGTACATACATATCGTCACCTGAAATGCAAAAAGACGTAACAACAACGTAAATGAAATGGAAAAAGTCGTAACTAATATTTTTATTCATTTTTATTATATTTTTCATAAAATGATGTGGGGAGTTGTAATTCGGTGAAATCCATGTATAACTCAAAAAGTGAATTTTGAATTTTTTATTAGTTATGACTTTTTGCAATTCAACGATGATTTTTGTTACGTCATTTTGCATTTCAGCTGACGATATGTACAGGTATGAACACAAGCGTGAAAGACACCTTAAGCGCTTAATAGAGCGCTTACATAAAACACGAATGTGCCACATGCATTTTTTCTTTAAATCACAGTTTTTTATTTCCTTTGCACAAAATTTACACCAATTTTCACTATCAATTTTCCCTTGTCTATTTTAACTTTCAGCCAAAGCCGCCACTAAAATCCAAGCCGTTTTTCGAGGACACAAAGTACGAAACACCATGAAGAAGAGCGAAACTAAACCAACACCCACCGCTAGCGCCATCGCTAATAGCAAAAATGCAGCAGCTTCGGCGGCAGCCGCAGCAGAAGCAGAAGCGGCGGAGCCAACCAAAGCTGAATTAGAGGCTGAATTCGATCCCAATGACAAAGGTAGGTGACATACT